TCTCCAGCTGGCCATAGAACTAATAGGGGTGTCCTAATCACTGGGCACGTTCTTTCTCTGGTCTGCTCCTTCCCTCTGGAGTTACCAAAACCAGCCAAAATGCTCAACTGCACAGCTGTAATTTGCTCCTCATACCTGTGTTTACTGGTGGATTGATCAAGCTCCTCAGTTATACAGCTGTGATCACAACTGAAGAAAAGGTTTCTACCAATAATGGATTGTATTAAGGGGCTAACAACATCCCTGGCTTACCTCCATTTGCTTTTAATGGAGCAAAACCAGGAATGAATTTGGCCCCATGTGCGTATGGTAAAGTGATGCTCTCACTCAGAATAATGCTTCCATAGAAATGTTCTGTTCCTGTATCTCTGTCCGGTTAGCTAACTGGCGGGTATCTGAATTATGAGCATGGCGTGCACACAGCTTAAGAAGACTTTGTTTGGAGGTGAGAATGGTGGAGCCCAGACTGAACCTGCTATTGAAATAACACACACAAAGGTCATCCTGAATATGCAGGGGGTGGGGAGGACAGCAAACTATTAACGTTCTAAAATCAGAGTTAGCTTCTCAGCTGGTCAGCCTATTGTCAACCCCCCAGTAATGCTGTGTGCTATGTGGTGTATAAAGTAATCGGAGAGCAGAGTCCTAAACCTCATTTATTTCATCTCCACTCTGAAGCGCTAGGTCCAAAATGGCAATTATCCTTCTGCAGGCTACCCTAACCAGCCAATAAACCAGTGTTTAATAGTCCTTCGTAGATAAGCCATTTTACCATCATTCAGACTTTAGATAAATACGTAGCATATGCTATGGAACCTGCTCTGATATGTTACCGAGATGAAATTAGATGAGCTAGAGTGATTTACAAGGAAAGTGTAATTCCATTGAGGGGACTCCACTTGTGTTATAAACCACTGGAGTTGTCATCACCAGGACTCCAGGATGTACAGTAAATAACTCCAAGATGTCATTAATTTCACACAGCTGACTGCAGATCTTTTGTTGTTTTATATTTATGACATATGGTTCCCGCACTGTGTGTTTCAAACCATTTGAAATAAGTGAAAGTGACATAGGATGGGGTTTTCAAAAGAACCTAAATGATTTAGGAGCCTAGAGGTAAAATTTTCAGTGGGACTGAGAATCCTAAGTCATTCAGAATTTTTACTCACACTTATTGGTGTCTGTGCTTTAAGGGCCTGTCGGAATTCAGCAGACTTCCATGGGCTTAGATCAGGCCCTACCTGACTGGTTTTGAAATAAGGTCTCCTGAATACCCATTTAAGTGGCAGATCTGAATTTTCAAAAAAAGGCCATAATTCTCTTATGCATTTTGTCTTTTTAAATGATTTTAATTGGAATGTTAGCACCCAGGGTTTCAGAGCAGATACCACTCTGCAAAGATAAAATGCATTCTAATACAATTATTGGACTCTGTCATTCTGAGATAGGATCAATGGTTTATGACTTTGGGATATCACATCAGTAGGTTCCAACTTTCTCTTACTATAGAACTTCATGGCCACCATTCATAACCATAATACAATCATATACCATCCTACAGAGAAGCATTACTGGGGAAAGATACAACCTAAATTCCATGTGTACCAAACTGAGTGGAAAGCCTGCTTTTAAAGGGAAATGATTAATTCTAATACCAAAAGCTCTGATCCTTAAACATGTATGGAACTTTACTCATGTGAGTGATCTCATTGCTTCAATGGGTTGAAAAGTTATGCACCTGAGGATATTTGCAGGATTGTGGGCTTAGACTGGATATCTAGAAAAAAATATACATACAACATCCAAATGATCAAAACTTAATATATGCCATTAGTTTAATATCCCAATAACTGTGAATGGCTCTGGTGCCTCAACGAATGCTACAATTTTACAGCTACTTCCCAACAGGAAGCCCTGTCTGGAAAAATAGAGAGCTTATACCCTCCTATCATTTCACATGCTGAGGTCCCATTGAAATCAATAGGAGTGTTTCATGAAAGTTTATGGCAGTAGGATATGGCTTCAGTTTAAAGAGCAGGTATGATGGTAGCTTCTTGCAGATTTCTTAAAGTAGTTTCACGTTTATTATATTCGATAACCATTTTTAAAATGATACCAGGTGGTTTACATTTTTTAACAACTGGCAGTGTTAATTGCAATTTTCCTTTTGTGTGCCACAATTTCAAGCAATTGAATAATTAGAGGAAGGATGGTCTTGTGGTTAAGGATTGGATTGGATCTGAGGTGAGCTGGTTCCAATTTTTGGCTCCTCCATGGACTTCCTTTGTGACCTTGAACAAGTCACTTAATCTTGGTCTGCCTTAACTCCTCATCTATGGGGATAATCATATTTCCTTTCTCCCTTGTCTATGAAGATAGTCTATGCCTCCAAAGAATTTACAATGCCCTAATATGCATAGTACAGTGCCTAGCACCATGGCACTCTGATCTTGGTTGGGTCCACACAATATATTGCATCAATTAATAAGCAAAACTCTCCTCTGAATTCAATGGAGAGTTGTGCTTCACACTGATGGATACATTCTTTATGTTGCTGTGGATCAAATAACAATTATTGCAAATAAAACTTATGGTCTTATAAAGAAACAAGCCTGATAGTGCTGACAGTACACATTGTTCTGAGACTGGGATCAGGCTGGAGTCCCTGTGTATTAAATTATGTCAAGATGAAGTTTTTAAACCAACGCCAAAAAGCCACTCTCTACCAGATGGCTACACTTGGAATAAGTTTCTTTGGCACAAAGCAGAAAGGAGTCCAAGCTGGCCAGGGAGGGTTAGGAAAAAAGAATTAAAATGTTACTTTTTGAGTGGGCAAAGAGGATACAACCCCACCCTACCCACCTGTCGAGAGAGCCTTTAGTTTGGTAAACACTGATTCACAGTTCCCAACACACGTGGGTCTGAAAGTGAGTGTGACTATGGCAGGAAAACCTCTGGGCTCCATGATGCGTCATCTCAAGCAGGGCACTGAATAGTCTTCATCGTCTGGGGGAATGAAACTAAATGGAAGAGTTGGGGGGTTGGGGCAGGGGACCTATTTCTACTCCACCAAGCCACCGGCTGTGGCATTGTATTTTCCAGAGAGCTCACCACTAGAGCTGATTGCAATTTTTCATCAACTCCCCCTCCTCCGCGGCCCCCCCCCCCAAGAAACAAAAGGGTCCCTGGGACATTTTCATTTTGGCCAAAACATTCCTATCGTTCAATGAAAAACAAAACATTTTTTATTTTTAAACATTTGGAGGTTAGTATCCTCCCCCCCCCCCCCAGTAGGGGGGAAAAGGAAGACCAATAGAGGGGAAAACTCAATAACAAAAAAAGTGTGGCCAAAAAGGGGGGGAAATTTCTGCCCTTTTAAAAAAAGTTGTCTTTCCAAAATGTTCACAGTAAACACTCCCCTTTTCGCCACCTCTAAGCAGCACCCGGTAGCTCCTGTTATTCTGAATGGGAGCTGCTAGGTCCCGAGAACTTCTCAAAATCCGACCTCTTCGTTCTCAAGGGGAGCGGAGCAATTTTGAAATCTGTCCCCCAACGCTGGGCAAAGAGATTCCGCCGGGTTCAACCCGTGTAATAATGCTTGTGCCCTCTACCGGCAAGGGTCTCTTTAGGACCTGGCATTTGGGAACTCAGGGCAGGAGAATGGAGGGGAGAAAAGGCCAGAGACAGGCGGTGAAAACTCGCGTGGGACAATAAATGACTCTCTAGTGGGTCTAAAAATCTGCCCGCTCTGAGGCGCAGAGTTCGGGAGCGTCCTTTGCTCGCACCGGGTGCGTTCTAGGTGGGAAATCGATGCGTGTGGCAAATGACGCTGTGATTTTGCAGGTTAAAACTGTCTCGTTTGTTTCACATATGCCCAGCCTCCCCACGCCCCGGCAGCCAGCACTTCGCCGCCGAGGGAGAAGAGAAAGGCACCGCCTCGCCCCGTTACCCCAAACCGCAAATCTGTTCACAAAGTCAACCGCAAAATAAACCGCAGACAGACAGGATCAGGGTAACAAACTCCGCAGTAAAGCCCCGCTCCTCGCCTCTCCCAGCCCGGCTTCGCGCCGAGGAGCAAACGGGGCAGGGAAGGGGTGAAAAGTTGGGCATCTCCAAGTTGCCACCAAATCAGCCAGGAGCTAAAACACCCCTTAGGGCTCCAGCATCCATGTGTCAACTTGCCAGCCGGCCGAAGAGTTTCTCACATCACCCATCCACCCCCCCAACATACAGCGCCTTTAGCTCTCTCTCTCTCTCCCTGTGTCCGGCAGTTCCCTTCTAGTGATTAATAAAACCCACCTCCAAACCACTCACTTTTCTAGTCCCTGACATAGGTGCTGGAAGTCTGGGGGGGGGGGGGGGGGTTGCCGCCCCCGCTGGCTTGAAGTGCTTTCCCTGGTATCCAGGGTTTACAGTTGGATTCAATGGTTCTCAGCACCCCCACTGTACAAACGGGTTCACCACCTCTGGCCCCCGAAGCCCCAAGCACTGTGTTGCAGGTTTCACTGGACCTAGGCACTCTTTATAAACCGCATCTTGACCAGATCAGGACCGTGCCATTATTCCGGAGTGGAAGCCAAGGCGTGCCTCTCCCCGCCACCAGCCCCTTTCCCTGGCTTCGGATTTGGCAGAGAATAAACGAACCCAAGAAAGAAATGGGGGTGAAGGGCAAAAGAAAAGGAAAGAGAGAGAGGTGAGAGGGGGAAGGCGCCGCTCTCCCCTTTAGTTGCTCAGGACCAGGCTGCGCACAGCCCGGTTACACAAGAGGGGCACTCAACTTCAGAGAGACAAGGCGGGCCAGGTAATAATCTCTTATCCGAGCAACTTGTGTTGGCGAGAGAGAGGAGATCGCTGATGTCTCCAGGAGCCTCCGCCAGGCTACAGCACCAGTGCACCCATGGGTCAGTTTCCGCCGCTCTCCCCGGGAGCGAGCCCTTCGCCGCCCCAGACTTTCCCCACCCGCTTCCCAAATCAGGCCCCCAGGAGCCGGCACTCACCTGCGTTGCTCATCTCCCCCAACTTTCAGGTCTCACGCCCTCAGATCATGGTCCTGCGCGCCTGGGTCGGTCGCACCTCCTTAACCCCCGGCAGCCAGGGACGAAGTTGGAGCGGGGGGTCGGTGTGGCCAGCCCGCGGGGCTGAGAAGGGAGGGGATAAGTAGTCAGCAGTGGCCGGAGCCTCTTTGGCTGGGGAGAAGGGGGGGGGGGTTGCGTGGGGAGGGTGTCGGCTCAGGAGGGGCGATCACTGCCGCTGGCAGCCCTCGTCCTGCCCCATGCTTAGCCTGGCAAGGCAGACTGGTTGCAGGGAGCTTGTAGGGGCCCTCCCTGATCGCAGCGCACTGGCCAGGGCTCGCCACCGCCTCCTCCTCACTGGCATTTCCCTTCCTTTCCTGCAGAGGAAGCCCTTTGGCTCGCTCAGGGATTGAAAGCTGCAGTGAAACAAGGGAGGGGGGCACGGATGCCAAACAAACAGATTTAAAGGGACAGCAGCTGTTCTCTCCCTCACCCCCTTTATGTCCCCCCCCCCCACACTTCAGGATCTTGCATAAGCTCAAGGAGTGTGAATGGGGCTTGCACAAGCAGCGGGGGGAGGGAAATGGGGAGAGAGGCTTCTCCTCCCCTGGTAGCGTTTGGAAAAAGAAATCATGAACGTGGAAGTTTGTGCGTGGAGCTGAAAGTCCAGGGAAACCGGCTCTCAGGAGACACTCGGGACCGTTTCGTCCCCAGATCCTGCAGCCGCAGAGGATTGAACGAGCGTTGCAAAGCACTGATTGTTTCACAGACGAGCCCGGGATGTGCCTTCCCCCCGCGGGCAGGCAGGGCAGCTCGCACCAGTCCCCCGGAGCCGAGAGCAGAGCCTTTCTGCCCGGCGTGGCCGGGGTTAGCTCTCTCCGCCCGCTTCCCGCCCGGCACGTCCCTGCAGAGGGGACCAAAGGCACTGGAGTGTCTGTATGAAACGATCGGTAGCCACAGGTAGAGTGTGTGGACAACGGGCAAGTGAAAGGGCGTGAAGACTAGAGAGGAGTGCCTCTCCTTGCACAAAAGCAGCCCCTGCCCCGACACGGGGGGGGAGGAGGGAGAAAGCAAGTTAAAGGAAAGGTTTGCCTTGTCTCCTTCTGTTCTCCCCCTCTTTTTAGCTAGCCCTGCCTTGGTCTCTGTGATCAGCCTTTTCTGCGCAGAAATAACTGGGGAGACAGAAATTCTCCTTCTTCTTCCTTCCTCCCTTCCCACCAAAGGTGTGTCTACGTTCTGGCTCGAAACACGCCGGGGCCCCCCCAGAAAAGGAATCCGTCTGCCCCCCCCCCCGCTCAATAGTTGTGTGGCTTGCAGTAGACTGTGCGAAATAGAGCCCTGATCCTGCCGTCTTTACTCGGGAGAGTAAGGATTACTCGTGCGAGTCAGTGCTGTCAGCTCAGGCCCGCTGTTCTTGTGTGCTCTTAGCTTCAGTCCAAAGCTTCAAGACCTTGGTGTGGTTCCCCACTGTGCTCAGGAATTTCAAAAATAAATCCGGGAGGCTAGAAAATGTCCATTCTCCAAAGGTGAGAGATCTCCCCCCCTCCACTCCATCCCCTAATTCGGCAAACTCACTATTATGAATTTATGGGGGAGGGGGAGGAGAGGGCGGAATAAGAGGAAACGCTGGGCTCTTGTTCCCCTTGTAAAGGTAGGATCCTTATAGGCTGCAACTCCATGAGCCAAGGGGTTTGGTGTGCAGATGTTTGCTATAGTCTACAGCCCCGTTCACACCTGCGGGTCTCTGCACTCGTGCATCACAGAGCAATCTGTTTGGTCCCAAAGAGGGCTGGGTCTAACTTGATTTTACTGAGCGGCAGAATATTCAGATGTAAGATTAGAAAGTGAGAAGCTCCCGAATACCTGGCCCCAGGATAGCTTACAAGTGACATAAATATTTTATGCACCGAAAGGATTATTTGTGTTTGGTGGTTTATGTTAAAAGACAAGTAGCATTAATAAAGGTAAGCTGATAGTGTACAGCAGCTTTATTTCATGGAGCATTGTTTCATGTTGATTTTATTATAAAGCATCTAATAACAAACATCGTCATTATCTGCCAATTTATAAGACACAGCTGAAAAGAGAGCGACCAAAGACGTTCAAAAGCCTTCTTCACTGTTGTTTCCTTGTGACTGATATTAAATAATTTCATTCTAAAGAGGTACAGGTAACGGAAGCAAATTCACTAACCTGAGGAGCAAAAGAGGACTAGATTTGTGTTGGCTGCTTCTCAGCCACTGTGGCTAATCTGTTCCTGCATTGCATTCATCACTATGGCATCTGACCAGATCAGGCCCTAATCCACTTAGTCAAATCAAATCAATCTAAGAAATGTTTCCGGAACCACCAGTTTGTGTGAATCCAAAGTGCCTGATCATCTAGGGCATAATATGGAATCTGAAAACGAGCAAATTTAATACTTGCTTTTCAAGTAGCACTCAGGTGGGTTACAGAACGGAAGGTTTGGCATTTTTGCAAGAAACTAAAAATGTCAGAAAAATTCTAAATATGAACCTACATAACAAGAAACTGGGCATGGAAATTAAGGTCAGGGACATGATGGACAGCCAGAAACTGTAGTTATTAGGTATTCAAAGCAGAAATGATTTGAAAAATGTCAACTGAAACACATTTTTGAAGGAAAATGACTTTTTGATTCAATAACAAATATAATCAAAAAGCTCAACTTTTGTGAAAAAGTGGTTTTTTTGTTGGAAAAAATGGAAAACGAGCACCAAATTTCTTTAGGTTTTCAGTGACTGAAAATTTTTGCTGAAAACAAATAAGAAAGTGTTCTTCTCAAAATGTTTCATGGGAAAAATAACTGGTTCCTGATCAGCTCTTTAAAAAAAAGTTTCTTACTATTGAGCAATGTCAACCAAATGTTTTGCAGCAGATTTAGTCCAAATCAAGATGAATTCATGTCATTAGCTCGCTTATCAGATTTCATTTGTTTGGCATATTTTTAGTAAATTTAGGAGCTGTGCTCATTATTATTTTTCCAGTATTCAAGCAAAGGGAACTTGTTCAAAGGGAAACAGGCAGTTTCTACATATTGTAACACACTAATGGAGTTTTTCTTATCCTGTTTTTATAGGAGATGTCCACTGAAGCAAGCTTGGGTGTGGTTATACTGTGCATAACTAATTCTGAGCAGCAAAGGGTTTCCTAACTAGAGCTAGAAAGATTAATGGAAAAAATATTTGACAGATATTTTATTTGAACAGTATTGCAAAGTTAATAGAATGATTAGTGTCACAAATGTGAGATCACCAGGTCTCATAGAAGCTTCTCCAAAACAGCTTGTCCAAAGTTCTCTTCACACATAATGATTTGCAGTTTTCTACAGGGTAAAAAGAAGCCAGGAAAATTCACAGATCTGTGTCCCAAATCTCAACAGTCTTTTCATGGACAGCGTGATTGAGCTTTTCCCCTCTCCTCTGTTTGTGGAGCCAGATTGGATATTTCTCACATACATATGAGTCTCTTCAATCTGTTTTAACTCTGCAGTTGGTTCAAGAGGGCCACCAAATATGTCCTCCAGCCACAAAGCCCTGTTTTTTAGAATCTGAAAGGATCCTGTCCAGGATAAAAGTGACTACAGATTTCTTTTGGAGGGCGCGTGGGGGAGGAGGTGATTAATTTATTACTTTTCATAAACAAATAATGACATACAAAAAGATAAATGACTTACAGCTTGTCTATGTTACGAGATACCACACACTTCTCAGGATATCCAAGAAAGTTATGCAATTACACAACTTTACAATTTGTCAAAGCTGTAAGACCGGACAGTACAAAATCAGGCAATTTTGCACAGCCACAATATGTTGGGGTGAGAGTAACAACAACAGCAATAAAAGACATACACAAATAGGCAACAATAGGAAGTTCGGGACTAGAAAGGTGGGAAGAGGGAAAAGCGGAGAGATCAGATGGAATGGGAAGTTTGGCTTTATTTGAGCTATCTCTGCATTCTTTATTCAAATGTATCAAGAAACAGGGTCCAAATTTCTTTGAATTACATAATTGCTCTCTACATTGATAAGCTGTTCTTTCTTTTGCTGAGAATGCAGACAGGTCGGAATACTGCTGCTCTATTCTGGGCATAAGCGTACTCGTCTATTTTTGTAAAATCATTGGGGCATCATTGGGGCCCTCAAGCACCAAAGTCTTTGTGGTGGGGTAAACCCGGTGTAGTAGGTACATAAACCAGGGTATAATTTTCAGCTGAGGTTTGATTGCTGACCATAGATGACTCGTGCCTCCCTATATTTGTGGGGCACAATCTAAAGGGGAGGACACATGACTGCTCCACATGTCTCCTCTGCCCAGCGATCCCCTGCCCTGTGCCCAGGTTGGGGCTGCTACACTCTCCCCAACCAATGTTACCTGCTGGGGGGCAGGGAGGGCTCTGTCCTTCTCCCTCTGTGCCTCAGCCCCGGCATGCTCGGCCACTCTCCCTGGCAGCCGGGCCTGGGTGGGGAGTGGAATGGAGCCACTTCTCACACAGCTGAAGGCCGCTGCTCCAGGTCATTGCTCTGTGCAGCATAGCATCTGCCTGAGACAGCCTGGCTGGGGAGGTGGTAGCAGTGGCCTGCTCCATGCCAGGTCTCGGCTGCTGGGGACAAGGAATGAGTGAGCTAGAAATGTGCCAGAGGGGAGAGTGGCCTCCTGCTCGCACGGTCCCCATCCCCAGCAGCTGGGCCCAGGCAGTGGCCCCTGCCACTGCCACCTCCCCAGCATCAACCCAGAGCAGCCGGAGGGAGAAGTGACTAATTCCACTCCTTCGGCTCCCTGCCCATGCCCGGCTGACAGGGATGGGCTGAGGGTGTTGGGGAGCAGGTCCAGCGGAAGAAGGACAGAGCCTCTCTCCCCAGACTGCACTGGCAGGCCGAGCAGCAACCTGGAGCGGCACCTGACCCCACATTCCCCCCTCTCCATGTATTGCCATGGCTGAAGCCACGCACAAATTTCACCCCTGTGTCCACCTCTTTCCACAGCTGTCTGACTGTTGGACAGCCCCACAGCACATACATCAGGGTTCCTTTTTCTTTACTGCAGCGCCAACAAACACCAGAGGACGGGGCCTCTGTCTCGCACAACCTCTGTAGCGTCCACTGCATTTTCAGTAGAATCTTTTGCTGTATTAGGTATAACTTGAGATCGGCAGACGTGTTTTTAACATTCCACAATATGCTCTGCCACTGGAGTTCTTTTAAGGGCTGGGATAACTCCCCTTCCCACATTTTCACAAAGAACTCCAGACAAATGGAGGTCCTCTTCCTTAGAGAAGTATACATAGTGGACACGGGCCTGGGGAATTTATGAAGCATTT